TGTGGAAACACATGCAATGATCTGTTCTGTAATGGATGGTTCAAGGATTGGCTGGCAGAGGCAGTGGAAAAATATAAACTATTGGATGATACCTTTTCTTGAGGAAGTTATACAACGCATTTATTGTAAGAACAAATTAATTGGATCTGTGTAAAATAGTAAAATAGAAGAATAATATAGCAGAGTGAGGAAAGATCACAGTAGTCTGTCTAGGTCTTACGAGTCTGTATCAGACATATAAGTCAGATTCTTCTTCATCTTAGAGGACTTGAAATAGTTGCTGCTAACCTTGTGATGATGATCATAATGTCTAAGATTGTCTCAGTCAAAGGTTGTATTTATAAAAAACAAATGCTTACATATTTTTTGGGAGGATGGGTTCACAAATGGGATTGCCACTTAAAAATATGTATTATTAATTAATATATCTCTTAAAGTAACACTTGATAATGGATAACATTTTCAGTACTGCAGAGATTTACTAAGGTAATGGGGTAAACAAAATATGAGAAACAACAGAGCAATCACTTTTTTTTATAAATATTTAATAATAAATTAATATTACATATTTACAACCCATCTATGAGAAAACCATCTTTTTATATTCTATTCAGTCGAGAGGACAACACTTGTTGATGGAAGGATGTGTTGAAGACTAACAGAACAAGTCATGTGTTGAATGGGTCGCTGCATGTCTTAACCATAGACCTGCTCCATGCAAATCCTTTCAGTAGCAGCCTCGTTTGGTGTCTGTGTTTCTGGAAATTTTGCGTCATCATTTCTGTGGTAATAGACTGGAGTCAGCAGAGTAGGTTCCAATGGGCTCTGACTAATTTCTGGTTGAGAAAACATGAAACTGTTTGATTACTGAGTTATCTGTTCAAACATGGGAACCGTACCAGTACTGTAAAGTTTAAGAATACAAAAAACAAAAAACAGAATGAATGTTATTATACAATCTATGCAAAAAATGAGTCTAATAAGAATTGTTTTAATTACATTGGGTTATGAAAGATTTAGCGTGCTGCTATGAACTGGATGTAGGAGGGAAAAAATGGTAGGTAGGTATGAACTGGCCTGAAGCTTTTTGAGTAGGTAAAAACAAACTAAACGCTGTAAACAGGTCCTCTTCTAGGCTTTATGGACAATTTAACCCTGCTTGTTTCAAGATTCACTCCAGATGTGGACCTCACAAGTCCTCCCCTAAGAGAAATAGGCAGGCTACATTGTAAAGGCTGCGTATGGATGGGAAAATGTGAGCGGATTTCCTGCTCCTGCCCGTCCTCCACCCACTATGGCTCAGTGCTCAGTTAGCAGAAGAGGAGAGATTGAGCTTGTTCGGACAGAGGTGGGAGGGGAAGCAGCGGGGTCGGAGTTGCAGTTTGTTTTTCTTTGACACAGCAGTCATCATCATCTGAGCGTAAGGCTCCATTCATTCCCAGTGACTCATGATAGACCTGCTCAAGTGTCCATTAGTGGTAAGGTGCTCTATTGAGGTTTGGCAGGTCACGGTGTTTAGGAGCGATTATCTTCCTGCAGACTCAGAGAAATAGGTGTTAAATGTTGGGATGAGGAGAGCATTCACTCATAGGGATAAAATATCAAGTTGAGGAGTTGGAATTAAACGTCGTCATCCCTTCCACCTTCTTCAATCTGACTCTGTGGACAACTTGTGATTAGGACTGGCATTATTTTTTTGTAAGCGAAATACAGGTTTTACATCAGTTTTCTTGTGAAACAATTGAAGCATTTCTTCCCTGTGATTAGTAATGTTGCTCATCTCTCCTGGACAGTTTACCCCTCTATAAGCCAATGTATTTTTTATTTTTTTTTTTGTCTTTAGCCACAGTGTTTGAGGGGCCCGCATTGTTTCCCCTCTAGTGGATAATCTGATTACATTTCAATTTGCACATGTGACTGTCTGGTAGAGGACAGGCTTACTGCTGCATCGTCTGACCGCTGGTCAGCAAGGCTATTTAATGAGAAGATCATTATCCACTGATGTTAGCACCACAACCAGAAGAAATGAGGATGAATTAATGACTAACATTAGGATGTCGAGACAGAGTCGATGAATTATTGGTTGGTTGGAACTTTTTCATTAGTGTGTCATCACCTGAGGACACTATTGATAGTTTGTAAATGTACCATTTATTGTGGTATCAAAATTTTATTCTGAAAATGAAGAGAAATCCAGATTTTAATAGAAGAATATTCTAATGTTGAAATGTTCGATTACAAAACTACTCACACAGTAATATGTGGACATGTTACAATAAAATAAATAATAATTAAAATAAATCCAGAGTTTAAATACTACTTTTTTAAGTTAGTAATCAATCCCTTCTTGTTTCTATTGGAAATGGGTTGGAGCTCATCTGCCTGGCTGTGTCTTTCCTAGACAGATCTGGTTGACAGTTACCTTTTGTATTTCTGCTTCTTTCTGTATGTCTGTTTCTGCCTCCTTGAACCCCAGTCGGCCTCTGCAGATGGCCGCTCACACTGAGTCTGGTTCTGCCAGAGGTTACCTCCTGTTAAAAGGGGGTTTTCCTCTCCACTGTCGCTGCATGCGTGTTTGGTGTGAGGGATTGCAGAAGAGTCAATGAAAAAATGCAAGTGAAAATAATTGCTGCCGGCTAATCCAGGAGGAGCATGTTTTGAAAGTAAAAGACTTGTTGCAATCAGCTGGTTTTTAAATAAAATAAACTTTTAACCAATCTAACTGTATTGTCTCAGTAACATGCCTTCAAATGATATGTGTTGTGAATTGGCACTATATCAATAAACTTAATTGAACTGAATGGGTTAGAATGTTTACATGACATAGAGGCCTGTTTGTGTTTGGCACTTCTCAAAATGCAAAACACAAGAGACCATGTCTTTTAAGAGTAAGGCACACGATTGACCCTTAAAAAGTAGGAAATGTTTATTATTAGAAAAAGGTACAAGCAGTTTTAGGCAGTCATAGCATGACTAAAAATCTAAAAACAACTGGAACTGTGACAGTGGAAGAAGAAGTAACACAAATCTCTAAAGCCTAATTTTAAAGAGAAATGCTATGTTTTGGATTAAAATAAAAACCAAACAAAAAAAATCTGTCTAACAATGACAAAGGTAAACCTGTGAAGTTTGGCAACTTTGCCAAGTTGTGCTTTGGACAGGAGCAAAAACTCCAGATTTGTCTAGGATGACAGCATAAAAAAACAAAAAAAAAAAAACATCTGATGTCCATTTTAAGAATGCTTTGATTCTGTGTGGGCATTTGGCTCCTAAAATTCCAATATAAACTTAGTTTCTTTGATATAACCAGCACATGGTCAAAGAAACTATAACGTTCTTGATCAGAAGACCAAAACATTTTTCAAAAGTTGTGGTCAAAATCAGCACAAAAAAAAATTACAAGAACAACATTCTTCTAAAGCACAGGTATGGAACTCCAGTCCTGCGCTAGTATCCTGCTACTTTCAGATGAGTCTCTGCTTAGTAGTACTTAGTCCAGTCCGACACTTTCCTCTTTTCACTTCAGCCCACAGATTTTCAATAGGATTTAGGTCTAGAGACTCAGATGACTTAAGAAAAGTGATGTAGTTAACCCAAATTATCGAGGATAAGTATCCAGCAAGTTAAAGATATTCCATGGTCCAACATGCCTTCATCTAAGGAATCTGGAAAACTTGACTTAAAGCTGTGGAGTTAATTCATCCACTGGATTATATTTCTGTATGATGGTTTATCAGTCACAATAATGCTTTGCCTTCTTTAACTGTCTGCTTTCCTGATAAATAGAATGCAGTTAACTAAATTTACCACAAAAGAAAGAAAATTGATTTCTTATGTATAGAAGTAAAAAGTCAGCTCGTTTTTGTTTGCAAAGAGAATGCATAAGTACTTTTATTTTCATAAGTTTGTTATTTGCTAACTACCTATCAAACTGGATATGGCTACAAGTCTGTTAGTTACTTGAGTCTGTTACTTTAGATTATACACAAAATGTTGTTGCATCTTTCAAAAAATGAGCAGGGTTATTATAGATTGGGTAAATGACGGAGCTCACAAATATGAAACTTTAGTTTTTACAGAGGAACAAAATCTTTTCTGGATTGTCGCTACCTTTAAATATCATCCTAAAAAAAGAAATCCAGTGCCAGTGATGTCTTATGGGATTGCTACATGGATGTATACTTACACAGAAGCTGGCAATATTTACATGGAAATTGGTCTCGTGTGAAACATGAAGAGAGAACATTTCTGGTAATAGCTGATACCAGATAGAAAAGAAAATTAGTAAAACTTTGTCGCTGCAGAAGTTGCAAGGTTTATGCTCCTTTTACTTTTAGTTTTAAATTGCTTTTCTATATGACTAAAATCCCCATACCTGATCCGTCCTTATTATGTGTTTTATACAGGAAGCTGATTTGTAGTTCGCCTACCTCCATTTCTCATTTTAACTATTGTTAGACTGTCTATCGAAACCTCCTCAATGCAAACATGACTTCCCTTTATAAGTTCCCTGGAATTTATGCCCCATAAGCAGCTGTGACATTTTTACATTTGAATTATTTTAGGATGGAACGCGTGTGCATCAGTCTGATGCCTATCTGACTTGTTTGTTTTAGTCTCTGGGACAAACTAATCTAAATTGCAACTATATAAAGACCCTTAGAAAATGATTTACTGCAGGTAAATATCAAATGCTTCAGCCTTTTAAAACAGAACCTCATATGAAATGTTCAGAGCTATCGCATAACTCCCCTTTAACATTGAAGAACATCTGAGTATCGGCATAACAAACCCTGAGAGCAAATTATTTGGGTAGAAAACTGACAATGTACCATTTGACAATACTGAGAAATCAGTTTGAACAAGAAGTAAAACACTGCATCCATTGTAAGACATTGTGATTTATGCAGGTACCGTAGGTCCCATTCCGCTAAGATGGTGCAGATTTACTGACATTTTCCCCTGTTTGCCTTCTCTCTTGTCTCCTTATTACTCTACAGGTCCTGTGACGTGTGGAAATGCACTAGAGCAAAGGTCGACAAAGCCAACACAATGAGTACCAAAAGAGTTTTGGATGAACAGAATCTATGACAAAACCTCTTTTGCTGACAATGACAATCAGAACCTAAAAAGGAAAATGATATGTTGAGTTTCTACTTGAGCAGTGAGGTACCAAGTTTATTGACTTCATGATTGAGGGCTGTGTTTGTAATTTTACCTGACAAGGAGATAAAGATATCCCTAGATGTACCTCTCTAGATAGCGGTGATTTCCACTGTTAATAAGCTTGTGAACCACCAGGTACACAAGGTAGTTCTAGACATACCATGAATCCTAGAGACAGTGTAGATGTCATGGAGACCCAGGAAAAACTGACTGTCAAAAAAGCCAATCCTGGAAAGGAGTTGGAGGGTGAGGATGAGAAAATTCCAGAGGCTTATAACTGCAACATCTGTGGACGCAGCTTCCCTTTCCTCAGCTCTTTCTCGCAGCATATGAGACGCCACACTGGTGCGCGCCCATATAAATGCCCCTACTGTGACCACAGGGCATCTCAAAAGGGCAACCTCAAAGTCCACATCCGCAGCCACAAACTGGGCACACTGTCCAGCCATCACTCTAATGAAGATGAAGAAGGTGGGGCAGAGGAGGAGGAGACAAAGGTTTCTGAGGGACTGGATGGGGGCACCAGTCCGACCAAGAGCAGCTCTGCCTGTAACAAGATGATCAACGGGGATGCTAGTGAAGAAAGTCGGAGAAAAATGCCAGCCCGGAGCATGAAAAGGGAAAAGTCTGTGACCAACCAAAGGCCGTACTGTTGCCGCTTATGTGGGTATGAGGCCCTGCGGGAAGACCAGCTACTAAGCCACATTGAGAAAGTCCACATAACAGCCGATGCAGAAGACGACACGGTCATTGTTAAGGAAGAGGTCATGGCCGAACCCGAGACCATCCAACCACCAAGCGACGGCACATTCCCCTGTGAGACCTGTGGCCAAGTTTTCAGCCAGGCATGGTTTTTAAAATCGCACATGAAAAAACATGCCGGAATCCTAGACCACTGTTGCCGAATATGTGGAAGAAGGTTCCGCGAAGCTTGGTTTCTTAAGTCTCATATGAAAACCCACAATGCAAGGTCTAGGTCTCGCTCCAAAGCAGATTCAGCAGAGCCTCCCACCACTATAAACGACGTAGCCCAGGATCCTGAATTCGGGACACCCTCTGTTACATCTGTTTATCAGATGTGCTCCAAATGTGGAAACCTTTTTCACAGCAAAGAGAGCCTGAGAGCCCACGATAAGGTTCACAGTCCTAAATGTGGCAGAAAATCCCCACTCCACTGCCAGTCTACTGATGATGAAGATTCACCAGCTGCTAAGAGACGTTTCCTTGATTACTTTAATTTACAATGCATTCATGTGAACAAGCTGGATGAAGAGGACAGTGAGAAAAGGACTCTTGGTCAGAGGATTCCAGAACTAGATCCAATTTGTAGCTACCAGGCTTGGCAGTTGGCTACTAAAGGAAGGGTCATGGAGCCAGTGGAGCCAAGTTACAAAGCCTCATATGGAGGAGGAAGCATGGAGGTCGAAGCCCTCACAGAGGCTTCAGTAGTTTACGAGAAGGAGAACAGCCGCTTTGTCCTGCAAAGCCAGGAAAAACGCAGCTCAGGGAGACGCAGCAGCTCAGGGTTGGGAAGCCACGCATCTTCAGGAGACAGAACACCAGAGAGCCTCAGCGATTCCGAGTACCGCCCCTCAAGTCGACAGGACAGAAGACGACCGTCCCAGTCGCAAGCTTCTTCTTCCAAGGGCAAGGAGTGCTTTGAGTGTGGCAAGATGTTCCGCAGCCGGCATCAGATGATGGTCCACCAACGGGTCCATAGAAAGGATGGAGGCAAGGCACCGCCAGGAGACAAGGAAAGACCTGCAAGAGATGATCAATGGGGCCCCACCAGTGATCCAGAGTCTGGCTCACCAAGCAGACCCAGCACCCCAGGTTACGGAGATTCTCCTCCTTCATCGGCGCTTGGAGACCAGGCTTCAGAGATGGGAACTTCAAACTCTGCGGAGACTCCAGGTTAGTCAGCAACCGTTGGGATGTGTGTCTTTTCCTATATGCACAACAACAAAAAAATCCTCTATGCATTAAAGGCATAGAATAAAACAAGAAAAAAAGAACAAAACACTGTAATTAGAGATAAAGATAGAGATATTTTTGGTTAATATTTGCCTTATGGTGTCCTTTCTGCTGCTTTGCAGTAGCTGTTTAAATGAACACACTGTCAGCAGTTTCAGACAACTGTAGACCCTATTAAGTCTCCCACTCTATACCTCGGCCACTCTATAAACAACTGTTGATGAACAATGCTTGTCTAATCAGTTTCTTTGAAGTGGGAACTGGAGCCACCATGTGCACAAATTTTGAAACTGCATCAGTGTGAGATTACACCATTAAAAACAGTGCTGGATAACAATGCTATCAAAGATATCTCACAGCTTCTAGTTCTGCTGAAGAGTTCATAGACAGCAGTGACATTGTAATGTTTTTAATAGTGCTGCAGAGCTAACAATTTAATAATACCTCTTATGCCTGCTGGCATGTGAGCTGGAAAAACAGCATTTTCAGAATGCCAGTCATTTTTTTTTTCAACCGTATAATCCAGTGAATGCACAACATTGATGGATAAACAACTAGCTTGGACAGTGATGTATTCCAAATGAGGTATTTATTTGAAATTTGTGTTTAACTTTATGGTTCCTCCTTTTTTCTCAAAATCATTAATCAAAATCGTATATATTTGTTTGTGAAGTGATTGAAGAGACAAAGCCATGGTCTCTGTTCTGACGCTGATGTTCAAAAATAGCTGCAACATTTTTTCAGACCCGATTGAGCTGTGTGCTATTTCAGGTCTTCCTGTCTCAGGAACCCCCCACCCCCCACCCCCTTCATATCTGAGTGTGAATATTCTTTTCAGACATTTTATAACTTTTAGCTACTTGTGTGACTTCTCATGTTAATGTTAAATTGGTATAGTAAAGAGGCTAAAGAGGGGGAAATAATTAAATGCCATTGTTGCAAAGGATTTCATGGAAGGGATATGTCCTTACTAGTAATTAGTTAAAGTGCAGAAAATGTTGCCTTCTTGTTTTATGCCGAGCTGATAATGCAGTACAGACATTAGAAGTGAGCATGCATTTCTTGGAAAACTACTCTTGGAATAATTGTATTGTCCCAATGGCAACTTGTTTCCTGACTTTACTACACTCATTCACTTTGAAAACCATATTTCAATTACATGGATATGGACGCCATCATGTGGACAATAGAGTGAACAGCATTTCAGAGACAAATTCAAATAAACATGTACCACAAAATGCTTATTTTGAAGGCCAATCTAATAAACACAAAAAGTTAACTTGCACTAATATCTGAAAAAAAAAGTTATTCTATAACAAATTCATAAAAGATAGAGTGAAAGATTCGCCTTTTTTGTTAAAACATAACCTTATATCATTACTGCTGATACAGGATTTTTGATTTTTTTTTAAATTACCTTTTTAAGTCTTTAACTTAGCTTATTAACTTCTCTTCCAACTTAATTTACAGTAGATTACAGTACATATAATTCCAGGGCTTATTTAATTGATATCTTGCTATGTGAAAGTTTGTAACAATTTATTACTCATTTAAGTGTTTATTGTGCATTCAACATTTAATTCATGCTAATAATGCTTTGATTGCAATGTAGTAACTTATTGTAATTGAAATGCAATAATAATAATTAATATAACAATTGAAATATATAGTTAAACAGCTAAGGCTTAGCCTTTTAGGAAGAAACTAGTGAGTTTTCTCTGTTGCTCGCCTTATTTATTGCACACTAAACACTCTGAATGAGTTCTAAAGCATTAGCATATTAATCAATAACATACCTAGAAACTGTGTATAAGCATCTATAAGGGACGCCTTAATGTAAAGTGGTACCAGTATATTCAATACCTGTTCAAAGGCTGTTATTTCTTTAAAGGTGCTTCTAAAGAGACACATATTAGATGTTTATATTATTTAATGTTATTTCTTTAGTGAATATATTTGTATACAGCGGATGTTGTGTTTTCTTTTATACACACATATGTATTTAAATGTTTACAGCTCTGCTGTCATCTCAGTCAATTATAATAACAGTAATCATATTAATATTAATAATAAAACAAATACTGAAAACGTAATAGAACAACCCCCATCAAGACATCAAGTTAGAATCGGTTAATATTAACTCAATATTTTAAAAAGAAACCTATCCAATATGTGTATTGTATTTGTATGTGAGGTTTGGAACTAAAGCCAATCATTAGATCTAATTTTCTGTAGATCTAGACTGCCCCTTGGTGGTTAGTTTGTAGAATTACATCCATATAAAGTACAAATGAATGTGAAGGATTGTTACTAGAGTTATTTTGTGTTACAGATTGGAACATTCAATGTTGTTCAGTTAGTAGTTCCTGAAATTTAAAACAGTTTTTTGTCTTTTTTAGATGAAAAACCATACATCTGCAGCCTCTGTGACTTTGTTACTCAAGACTCACAGGCCTATGTCACTCATGTTCGAGTCCAACACTCCAAAGACAGATGCAGCCCTGTCCCCAGTCCAAACTCCAGCTTAGGCAGAGAGACCCTCTGTGATTACCCGAAACAGAAGAAAGCGTTTAATCCTGGGCTAAAAACCTCCTCTAATGTTTACCTGTCTAAGCGCCCCTCTCTGTCGGATCCCAACATGATTCCTATGGATTTATGTGTGAGAGCCAACGGCATCAGGGGCACGGTCTCTATAACTTTAGATAAGAAGAACCTCCTAAGCCATAAGTGCTCCTTCTGCTCTCACTCCAGCCGATACCCAGAGGTGCTCTGGATGCATCAGACCGTGGCTCACCGCATCAATAGCAGCAGCTCCAATCTAGCTCCTAAATGGGCTCTTAAAAACAGCTCCAAGAGCTCCAGGGACGTCTCTTTGTCCTCCAAGAGACGCACTGGACCACCTCCTGTCCTGGAAGGGAAAGAATGCCAGCCGCTACCTTCGCTGGCACGCAGCCAACGCACGAGGCCCCCCACCTCCAGTGAGGTGGTAAAGAAGAGCCGACCAGTGAGTCATGCAGCCACTCCACCGTCATCATCATCTACACCTTGTACTCCATCCTCGAGAGGATCTTCATCTGCATCAGGCACCCAGGCTGGGAGACTTCCTGTACGGCCTGTCAGCAGTACCAGCCACAGCGCCATCAAACCCACAGAGGACCAGAGTCACCGCTTCAGACCCAAGGTTGACATCTATCCTAGAGTCACCGCTCAGGCATCCTCTGGCTCTTTGGAGAAGAACACCGGAAGTCGCTTTCGAACCCCTTCACACACCCTCAGCTCCTCTGCAGCTTCCAAGACAGCTGACCGCTACATGATGCCACAGGAGGGACTAGGCTTCATGCTGACCAACAAACACGGCCTGGCAGAGTACAGCCGAGCTCGCAGTTCGCCAAATCAACCGCTCCCCACTTCCCAAAGCCACAGTCGGCCAAACCCTTCAAGGCCTAGCTCCATCAACCACTGTTTGCCCCAAACGCACAACTACGGCGTCTCCCAGACACAAGGAGCCGTTGCACAGACCTCCTCCTCCTCTTCCTCAATTCCTTCAGAGAGCCGTAGGGAGGTAAAGCAGGAGCCAAGTGCAGAGATGCCAGAGATGCCAGCTGACGTCCTGGGCTTCCTCAAGAACTACAGCCCTCATGAGCTGGCTGCTCTCTACCACCGCTGGGGTGCAGCCAACACTCTGATGGACCCCACAGGTAGCAGTTAATCATTATTTACACATTTAATTAGAACATTTCCTTTTATGTGAATATATTGTTTCTGCTTTTATGTAATAAAACAAATACTCTCTCACATAAAAATCAACATCATTATCTAACATCCAAAATCGCTTCAAGCATCTGAGCTCAGAGGAAATGTCAAGTGTCAGAAGGAGTAAAGAAATATTTAGAGTAGGCAGCCTGTTTCTGGCCCCTAAGCGTAGAGCGCAGAAAGCTTCACAGGGGGAACAATACAACTCTAATCTCTTGGATGAACATTTAAGTCTCATTAGCAAGATGTGAAAAACTTACCTTAGACTTTTGTTGCATGTAGCATCACTGCAGCACCTGCTTGTTTTCAGCAGCTGGTGGCAAAATAGAAAGCAATAAAGTACACTACCTTGCTGTACCATCCCCCCCTCCGGCAAGAGCCACTTCCGCACGCCCCCTGCTGGCCGTGCAGGACTTTGTGCGGCTTCTTTCGTGATAAGAGAAACGGTGGGAGCTAAATCTTACAGCCTTCCACATCCTTCACAACCGCAATTAGCGGTCGACAATTAGCTTTTGTAGACTTTGTTTTAGGGTTGGATAGCATGCATTGGGTGGGAATACATTATGTTCACAGTTTCCCTTGCATTTCAGTTAAGTCAAGCTTTGAAAAAGAATTTCTATGATTTTCCTTTTAAAATAGATACTTGTCCTCCTCTTCTTATGAGGCCAGTTTGTTACAGAGCACAGCTAACAGCTGTACTGTCAGTAGATTCTTCCAGCTGAGCTGTGGATGGTTGCAGCTCCCCCAGAGGTCACTGGAGGTCTTGGTCTACTTCCTTGTAATTCAGATATTTAGAAATGGGCCGATGCAGGTTTTTAAGGCTGATGCAGATTATTTTGACGTTAATCCAACTAATCCCTGATATGTGCTGCATATTTTTGAAATGTAGAAGATAAAAATGATACACAATGATAAAAATGTTACTTGATTTGCAATAAATAAATAAAAAATGCACGTTTGATTTGTTAACAAATCAAAGAAATCATTAACAGTGCATAGCAAATAGAGGAAGAGGCAATGCATGCGCTTTGAGCGATCTCAAGGCTTGGCTGCTGTTTATCGGCGGGTCGATATGTCTACTGCTGCTTCACACATCTCTATAGAATGTATAGAAGTCTGTGGTTGGATCTGGTGAAGCGTAATGTGCCTGCTTGACGATTTATAGAAGTGGTACGCAGAGATTGTCTTTTTTTTAACCATGAAAGACGTGAGAGAACCTTTTCTGCTCTCGGGTCTGCGAGGCATGGCCGCACCGCTGTCCCAGAAAGCTGTCACAAACTGTTTGGGTCACGGCGGTCTGCCTGACGAAGAGGCTCACGCAGATGCAAATGGAGAGGGAAACCAAAGCAGAAAGGAAGGTAAAAAAAACAAAAAAAAAAAAACAAGAGAGAGATGAGACAGAATAATTACCCCACCAGCTGCTTTGGAAATGGTCATTACCCAACACCCGTAATATTTGCCCAGTTTGTGCAGCGTCTCCGAGGTCAAACGGGGCTGCATGGAGCCAGGGGTCAGAGACAACAGCCCCAGAGCAGACGCGTGACATCGCTGTCACCCGTCCAGGCACATATCGTCACCATCTGCCTTAGCCCTTTGAGTCACATGCTATAAAGTAACCTTTTTTGAGCAACTGAGTCTTTCTCCTGTGTCCCTCTGTAGTACGTGGTGATGTGAGTGTGTGTGTGTTGGTGGGCTTGTGTTTTCTGTCCAGCTCTGTCTTGTCTTTCATTAGTGCATCAGTGAGAAGGGCTGGCGGCCCAGTTGGGAAGTGGAGTATCCAGAGGCCAGCAGTCGGGCTGCCAGAGACACTCTCTTTCACCTCTTCCACCTCTCTGTCCTTCTTGTTCCTGCTTTGCCCCCACCTCCCTACCCAAACAGGAACATGTAGAAACAACTCTCAGGTGGTGCTGATGTATATGACAGCCTCTTTGTGCAGGAAGATCCTGGTTCTTTGGGGTTTTTTGAAGGCATTAAACTCCAGAAAAACTCTGGCTTTTTATCTATCAGTCACATTGGAAGGATGCAGGAATTTTAAAATGCAAAATGCAGATTGAGACATCGAAATGTAAAATTTCTTTTTCTATTTTTTTTTACAAACATACTGAAAAATAATAATAATTGATCTCACAATGGAGAAATTCACTTCTCAATCTTAACCCATCCCCTTGGGGAGCAGTGGGCTGCCATTGTGGGGCGCCTGGGGTGCAACCAGGGGTTAAGGGTCTTGCTCAGGGACCCACAGTGCAGGCTGTGGGGATCGAACCAGGAACTTGCAACCTTCTCAGAGGAGCGCACTGCTCTAACCACTAGGCCAACACTCCGCTATTACATAGAAAGCTTAATATATATTTTTTCTTTAGGTAAATACATCTAATTTTGTTTAGAAAACAGTATATTGAGGTACAAAATTGTCATCAGACTTTTGACCTGATATATAAATGACATTTTAAGGACATTATCTGACAAATCAACGTAAATGTTTGCTTAACATAGACAGATTTTTTTAATTTTAATATTAAAAGGATGAGTGTGTGTTTATCCTTTAATCTGACACCCCTAAATAAAATTCAGTGCCACCATTTGCCTTCAAATGCAGTCAAATGAGAGGATTCAATCCAGCTCTGTTTAATTTTATTGGTGTATAAACATTATTGTCATGAGGATTATTAGAGAAATTAAGACTAAGGAACACATTAGGCAGGTTTAATATGTGGAGAAGTTTTTAAGAAGTTGGGTTATTAAACATAATCTCAGAGAGATCACTTTTCCATCCCTTATTTAGAAAAGAAATGACTCTAGCACAGTTACAAACCTACCATGGGCATCCGCTTTTACTGACTTTCTGGGCAAGGAAAGCATTAATCAAAGAAGCAGACAGGTGATCCATGGTAGCACTGGAGGAGCTGTAAACACCTGCAGCTCAGGAGAGAGAACTTTTAGACCAGATATCTGTTGGTCGTACAAGCCAATGATTGAAGATTTGCAATAGGTGTTTGATTTAGCTTGCTCTCAGTTTCACCTTTGATGCTTTTAGGTTTGCAGTCTTCACCTAAATGTATTCAGACAAGCTGAAGCTTGAGGCAAACGTGTTTAGCCGTAAACATCACCCATAGCTTATTTCATTTTGCATTTGATAAAAAGTTTCCCTCTAGAGTTCCTTCTATCTCGCAGCTTAAGTCCGTTAATGCGTCCTCACCACGTCAGCGTTATGGTCTGTGAGCGTAAACCCAGCCAAGCATGTGCCTCAACCCTCCACCAAACACAACGGGCACGCACTCCTGAAACACGTACGCATACCGACACACACACACCTGACATGTGACACGCGGGCAGCGGAGCGGGCACATCACAGCCGGGGCGTTTTAATTGCCTGTAATTTATGCAGCGTGTGTGTGTGTGTCTGTCAGCTTCTGAGATGATGCCGTGTGACAGCTGCAGTCCAGCCCCCGGAGCGAGCCGCTCATAATGACACATTAGACATACTAATGATGCCTCCGCGAGTCCACTGCTGATGCTACCTAGCTCCTACGCATCACCCAGGCGTACACACACACACACGCCCCCACACACACACATTCAGTCCATTACTGACCTTTATGTCTTCATTTAGTTCCTTCAAACACAGCCTTGTGAAAATGTCTTCCCACTTGTAGCAGCACTGGGACCAGTTGTAAGTTAAAGGTAGTTTATCTGATTAACATACTGACCAATATATCGCCTTTAAAAAAACTGCACAATCAAATGTGGATGGAGAAAGTCTCCATACAGCAAATGTTGTCAGAGATTCTCACTTAATTCAATTCAATGCAGTTTATTTCTATGGTGCCAATTCTACAACAAATGTCATCTTGATATAAACCGGCTTACGTGTAATTCATTTTGAGATGCCACAAATCTGCACAAAACGGAGGGATATTCAGTACAATTCTTCAAGCTGATTGGATAGCTGCTCCCATGTCGAGTTTATAGCCAATCAGAGCAGCAGTAATAGCTGGGATGTATCACATTCTTGATCGGTTTTAAGGAATAAACTGATAAAACTTACCAAACCCGGTCATCAGGAACGTGCAAACATCTTTCCGATCCACAAAGATATAATTTGCGTTCTTTTGCTCGTTTTTCAAAATAAAAGGTTTCCCAGTTTCTTTTGTTTCAGCCTCCCATTATACAAATCACTGCATTTAATTGGTCTGAAACATTTCTATCTAAGAAAAACTAGCTGATTGCATCAAGTCTTTGACTTTACAGGATGAGCATGTGATTGACTTTATAGCAGTCCCTTGACTTTGACTAGATCTTTCTCCAATAAATACTGTATGCCCTAATGTAGTGTCTTCTTGATGCTCTGGTTCTATGTTGTTATATTTCTCTCTTGGAAGTATCAATAAATTTAGGATTCCTCCATTTCTACAGAAAAGCATCCCCACAGTAATGATGATGCCACAACCATGCTTCATCCTTGGGACGGTGTTGTTTCTTCCTATTAGCTAATCTCACCTCTTGGCCACGACTCTGAATAATGCTTTCCTAGCCCAGTTTAAGGGTCTTTTTAGAGTTACAGTTGTTCCATATTCTTTCCATGGTCAGACGGTGGAATGAACAACGATCTATATTATTTTGAGAGCCCTGTTTTACGCTTCTTGGTTGGACTTTATCATATTTTAATCAGGATGTTAGGAATCAAATGCATGCCACACTATTCAGATTTTTATAAGGGAAGCAAACACATTTTTCTTTTGTTTTACAATAACGTCTTGTGTTGATCTTTAATGTAAAATCGCAGAAAATTAAATGAGAATAAGTAATACATTTCTAGGGTTACACCTTTTAACCCCTTCCTGTTTTTCTTTTTTTCACATCATCAGGGATGCTGAGGTCTCTCATGCGGCAGGGACAGTATTTCTGCCATGAATGTGGGAAGAGCTTCAGTCAGCCGAGCCACCTGCGCACACACATGAGGTCCCACACAGGTAAGTTAAAATGAAAACTAAAGCATTCGTCTGGGAGACCAGCCAAAAATCCCTGCGATCTCACTTTTTGTTGGGCATTAATAGAGGAGGTTCAATCATGCATGGTAACAATACAACACTTTTCATATTACAATGTAATTAAGGTGTCCCTTCCAGAGTAGTAGGTCTTTAAAATGTTTTTCTTTAATGGATTTGATCAAATCTCCAATGTAATTTTTTTTAATGAGAATTCAGTCCGAGTTAAGCCCATCCAGTAATTATTATATGCTTTCGTCTTTATTAGACTTTAGAGATGCTGAACTTGAGAAAATGTTGCACCTCCAGGAGCCAAAACACAACCCTGATATTAAAAAAGTCTGCTATTAAGCTCTGTGTTATGAGTTTATGAAGTCATATACAGCAACTAGATGAGGGTTTGGATGCTAATCAAGTTCTGAAACTAATCACAGTAACAGTAGGAGGAATATTAATGAGCAACAGGTCCATACCATCGTCTGTATATGGGTGAACACAACAGCCTGCTTTAAAACATTTGATCTATTTGTTATTAATGCACTTTTCAAACTTCCCATCTCGTTGGCCACTCCTTCATCAGTCCCTCACCTCTACACGCACATCACCACCCTCACAGCTCCATCCACCCTCCGACAGCATGAGGTATGGAGAAAATATGCAGGGGATTTCACTTTTTCAACAATTCTTCACTGTCGGACGCCGCGTTCCGTCCCGGCTTTCAGGGAGATAAATCAAGAGGCGTCTTCTTTGTGTTGGTGCCGGGCGTGACGGCCGATCTGTGAGTCCTTCCTGCCCTGGGCCGGGCAGCTGTCTCTATTTTTTAAACAGAGATGTGGTTCGGCGCAGACACCTGACCTGTGACAAATTGTATACATTATTAATCGCCTGTCAATTAGAGAGATGGAATTGTGCATTCTAATGAGGCAGAGCAGCATTTGTCCACGCCAACTTTAGGGACGGATTTGCATGAATCTGAGTGCCACTCACCACAAACAGCTTGATTAGTCAGCCTGGCTGTTTCTGATCCAAACTTTCCTTCTTCTCTTTTACTTTACCTTCTGGATTTCTTTCTTTCTTTCTTGTTTTCTTTTCCAGCAAAAAATATTCATCCCCAAAAACTTTATTATTTAACATTAAGACTTTATGCAGTACAAAGTTATACATGAATTTGAAGGACATTTATTTTTAAATATATATATATATATATATATATATATATATATATATATATATATATATATATATATATATATATATATATATATATATATATATATGGTAGCATTTTTTTTTAACTCTGATTCCCCTTAATCCAATCCAATAGCCTTGTGTGTAATTTAACCTCAGTATAACTCCAGCTGTTCTTTGAAGGGCCCAGAGATTCTTTAAAGATTAGTGAACAACCAGCATCTTGAAGACCAAGAAACCCAGCAGACAGGTCAGGAAGAGGGTTGCTAAGAAGTCAAAATCAGAGTCAAGTTGAAAGACAAACCATTTATCAAACCATTTATTTTAACAACTTACTGACATCTATTCTGACAAGATGTGGCAAGCCGTTCCACAAATCTGCCCTTTGTGGAAGACCTGCAAGAAGGAAGCAGCTGAAGCTCCTGCTGCAGAATACCCCAAAACATTAAGATATGAAGCGGACATTTGAAAGAATATGCTTCTGTCAAATTAGACCAAAATAACTCTTTGGTCTTATTTTAACCACCAAACATGACAAAACACCATGTGAGGTTGATCATTGACACTAACAGATTATCTCCACTGTGAATCACGGTGGAAGGAGCATCATTATTAAAAAATGCTCCTCTTCAACTGCGATTTATCTGCCAACTTATTTATTGGCTTCGATTTCCTTGATTTTGGTATTCTGGACCGATACTTAGATGTGAAACTGGTCTTTTCCACAGACCTTATGTACCTCTGCAAATGTCTGAAAATCAATGCTCTTAACACTGATTTGTAATTGAGAGAAGTCATTTCATAAGGTTTTTACTTATGAAATTACAGGTAATTTTTAAAGCATTTCAGTAAGATAAGATTGACTGGCGATAGACTGGAGTCCTGTCCAGGTTGTACCCCGACTCTTGCGCATTGACAGCTGGAGAAAGGCACCACCACCCCTCGCCACCCCAACTGGGATTAAGTGTGGGAAAAAGTGGATGGAAGATGGAAATATTAATGTGTTTAAGACTTGAGGTTTTTTTCTAGGCTCCTGCAGGACTAGTGGCTCGTTTTTGAAAAGCAGGCTGACAGGAAAGGGGGTGTAAGACAGGAAGAGAGACATGCGGAAAAGGATCACAGGCCAGATTCAAACCGGAATCGGCCTCTTTGAGGCCTCTGTACATGGGTCATGTGCACCACTGTGCTACCGAACCACGCTCAGGTTAAACTCTTAAAACAACTGAAAGTCAGTTATTAATAAATATTTGTACTGATCAAAATTGGAATTTGCATCTCAGGCTTTTTAGAGATCAGGAATCGGCCTGAAACCTGCAATCAGTGCATCCTTATCTTCAGCAGGAAGAAGAAAGCTGGTACAGGGCAAGGCAGCAAAAGGCTAGAGGCTCTAACTGGGCAGCAGCATTATAGACAGCTGAAAGGATTGACGAGTCAGAGTGGAGTCAAAGTCCAGACTAAAATCTGATAAAAGAAACTTCACAGCAAGATGGAAAAACTGCTGTTCGATTCTGCTCTCAGTCCAATCTGACTGAGCCAGGAATACATCAATAAAAAAGTAGATTTTTGTTTCTAGATTTCCACAGCTTGCTGAGAGAAAAACGGTCTAACTGAAAGAGTCTGAATACGTTTAGATGGTGCTGTATTCCTTTCTTTCATGTTTACCTATTTCTGCTCAGTGCACGCTGACCCCCCCTCCCATCTTTCCTTACATGTCCCTCTTTGTTCCCCTGCTCGGCTGCCTGTCTCCCTCCATCCTCCACTCTCCTGTCCTGTCATGTCCTTCAGCCGGGCCGGCTGTGATCACAGTCGACATGGAGATAAGTAGCTTCTTTATAGAGAGTGTGAATGATATGTGGCACAGCCAGTGATTCTAAGTGACAGAGGCCAAACGGTAAGTGATGCAGTGCTGAGCTTCCCCTCCAGCCCCACCGTAAACACACACACACACACACACCCAGGGTCTGTAAACACTCGCAGAAGCTGTAATTAATGTTGTCACCCACAGTCGGTCTTGAGCAGGGACGTGCACGCGCAGAAAAGGCCAGCCACCCCGAGGCCTCGATTAACATGCGTCACATTAAATCACAGACTCGCCTCCACCAGGTTCCGTCACCGTCTTTCGCCGCCACCATTACCATCATCATCATCATCATTGCTGCCAAATGCCCTCCACTAACGAGGGGCCGCTGGTGGCAAAGGCTGCTGTGTTATGCGGGGGGTGGCCGCACAGAGAGGGGAAAAGAAAGACAAACAAATGCTAACACATTGCTAATCCATGTATGGATCTGGTAGAGCGTTTAACCAAATGCCCTCCTCCTTCCTCCCCCACCTCCCCCCACCCTCCTCCTCCTCTTCCTCCTCTTCCTCTTTCCTTCTCCCCCTCACAGTTGGGTTTGATTATAACGGAGTCCACCGAGGTACTGACGCTCACACCACCGCTTCTGAAGCTCCCAAACAAGTATGTGGCACTACGGCTAATCACCGGGCTCCCTCATGGCTTCTGCATGTCTCTCATTATTGCCGTCTCGCCTCATGCATGCGTGGCTGCATGTTGGACTGCTTATGCATGTGTGCTTGTGTGTGTGTGTCCATCATACAGCCTAAAGTCCTAAGCAAGTTTGCCCTTTTTGCTCCTGTGTGACCGTCACATGTGGTGCCCTCTCCGCCAGGCATTAACCCCTACATCCTCGCATACAGCAGCATCACACCTGACATGGATGTATGTGTGTATCCAGCACACATATGAAAAAGCCAAACTTAACCTAAAGCTTGCATAATTTTTTTATATGATTATTTAAGAGTATTCAAACATTTTGTTTGTTTTGTACAAAAACATCCCGCTGTGTGTCTGTACACCTTACAGTTTGTTAAGCTCCAACTGTGCTCGCTTCCTTCTGCTGCACATTAAAATATGACTGCTTTGAATTTACTGTATAGCCAACTTCACTTTTATTCATTTCAGTGAACGATTACAGCAATATTGCATTAACAATAACTATATAAACTTGTACCAGATGAAAAATCTCTGTCATTCCCCTTCCTTTCTCTCTGTGATTACAAACAAAGCTGGTAAACTTGGCAGCTCTGATAACTATAGACCTAAAGCCCTACCTAGTACATTGTCTAAAGTCTTTGAACCAATATCTTTGCCAAAATTTGGAAAGATAATGATATGTATAGACAATCCATTTGGGTTCAAGTCCAAACAATGCACTGATATATTTACATATGGCCTTAATAAAGTAAGATATCTGTCCTTGTTGGTATGCTAATCAAACTATGCAGGTCAAATGGGATAACTGTGAGTCTGACATGGAAGCATTTTATCTCCTATGTTGTTTAATTTTTATATGAGTGGTCTATCTAAGCAGCTAAACTGTATAAAACTGGCTGCATGGTTGGTGATCCCACTTTGAATCATTTAATGTATGCTGATGACCTGGTGGTTTTTAGTCCAAGCCGGTCTTCAGAAGCTGCTTAATGTCTGTTTAGCATATGGCAAACTATTTTATGTCAAATTCAACCCATCAAAAAGTATCATCTGGATTTGGTGAGCTAAGGAGGACAAAAATAGAGTATTTCCAAATGTCATACTGTCTGGGACTCTATTGAATGTCTCAGATGAAGTAAAATATCTCGGCCATGTGTTGACAGACCCTCTGGATGATGAGGAGATTTACCGTGAGGTTCGTATGTCATATGCTCAGGCAGATATTCTTGTCCGTAAGTTTGGATTCTGTGCTGATAAAGAGAAACTGAACTTATTGAGGTCATATTGTACACTTCTATACTGTATACTGCATATTTAGGGTGCAACTTTAAAAAAAACAGTCTTCAAAGAATAAACGTGGCCTGTGATGATGGTTAAGACTTTTGTTAAAGAAACCCAGATGGACCAGTGTTTGTAACTGCTTGCATCAGCACTTTGACAGCTGTTTTAAAAAAGCATATGTATACATTTACTTATAACAAATAACAGAATTATCTGACTGCTGACTAATGTTAAATATAGTGCAGTAAAATACTCATCTGTACTATGGAGACATTGGTATGACTGCCATTTGAATGGTTAGGAGTCGCTTTTTATTGTACTTTTATTCTTTTGTCGTTTTTCTTTTCTTTTTTATGTAATTTAGAATTTGAGTCTGTAATAAAATCCCTCTTTCTCTATCTCTCTATAAAAGGTAGTTCGATTTTTTATGGTCATACTGTTATGTTCGTGGACATGGAAAAAAAACAAACTTGTTTACTGAAGATTTAAGCTTTTTCATCTTAAACTCGTTGAGAGCTGAGATGTTTTAAAGATTTTGTCTTCTTTCTGTGACGTTTAAAAACAAATGTAAAAAGAAACCAGCCTTACTATGACAACGGATTTCACTGAAAAGTATAATAGTACCTTAGATATTAAGAATTTTTGGGGAGTTAGTCATATTGGTAAAAATCTATTGCACAGGATTACATTTGTTCTGCTTTTTGCCTTCTCACAGAGCGGGCCTCTAAACCCTGTGCTTCAGTCATAATTTATCACACAGATCACACACAAACTCAGATTTACCTTACGCTCTGAGTGATGGGAGCAGGCGCAGCGGAGGGGTCCAATTAGATGTACTGTTGACGCTGCTTTACGACGACGATAACCTTTAGCATAATGTAGTGCACCGGTCCCGTCAGCCATGTTTTCTCCCAGGACGATGTCGTTTAAGTTCTCGCTTTCCCCTCACGTCTTTGCCTCGCCATTTCTTTCCCACATTTTTTTTTTGGGGGGGTAGGGGGTTGATTAATTGCACCTTTTTTGTTTTTATCCCTCTTTCCCTCTCATCCACCTTCCAGGGCTTCTGTTCTTCCTTTCGCGTTTCTGATGATGTATGATAACAGCCGTATTTTCTTGTTTCTTCTTCAGGGAGAAAGGTGCGGGAGGGGCAGCGGGAGCCATTTGTTTTCCCACTTTGATATTCTTCCATTTATCAAAATGATAATTAGGTGCAATTAAATGGCACTCTCATTTGTTTTGCTCGCATGTGTGTAGCCTTTTTTTTTTGCTATTTTGCAGAGGTGCCTGTGCCATTGTAGGTCAGTCTAATTAGAAGAAAGTGTGCAGGGGGATATGTGTGTGTGTTTGTGGATGCATGCATCTGTTTATGTGTGGGAAGAAGCTATATGCATTGTCCCAAATGATTGAGAGGAATAAAAAAAGTTCACTGCAAAAACAATCCAGAAATAAGTAAAAAATGGCTTAAATTAAGTATATTTAGCCTTAATTTGAGCAGGTAAATAAGATGATTTGCCAATGGAATGAGTATTTTCACTCTTAAAATAAGACAGTTAGATAATATTTACTTGATAAAATAGTTTTTTCTTATTTTAAAAGGAAATTGTCTTGTTCCATTGGCAAAGTGTCTTACTTACCTCCTCAAATCAAGGAAAAACACACTTATTTTAAGAAAAAATAACTTATTGAGATTTATATTTTTTGCAGTGCAAGCAGAAGGGCTAGTCCATCTGCGCCAACTTTAACTCTTCCTACAGTAACAACTTGCCCACTGAAGAGTGTTTTATATTCATGCAAACAAAGTTTGTTTTAATTAATATTATTGTAATCACTAGAATCAGGAAAAATTAGAATAAAAAATAATTAATTTAAAAAGCTATAAAGACTTTGGTGATAAATTGATGATAAATTAAATGTGTAATGTGTAAATGAAAAGCAAACGCTATGTAACACATTCTAATGCAACTACTATTCTACAGAACTTTTAAACAAATATAGGTCATGTTTATTGAATAACTTCAATTCAGGTTCTACATTAGTAGAAGCTGAATCAAGGCATCAGTGGTGTTGGATGAAGGAGTTTCGCTTGCAATTGGAAGGTTGTCGATTTAAGCCCTGGCTCTGTATTTCAGTGTTGTTGTGTCCTTGACACATTTGCCTTACTCCACTTTTACAGCAGTGGTTAAAAAAAATAATAATAATTTGATTATTGCAGGGCTTAATACAACCTGTCAGTGTCTTTGTTTTTGGTTTTTGACCATCAATGAATTTTTGAAGTCACAAATCTCTAGACGCCTAATGTTGCAAATATCCAGCAAATAGTTTGTTGTGTATTTACCGCAGAAAACAAAGCAGGTGCATTCCTCCAAGGTCAGTTATTAAACAATCAGTGGAACCATTGGTAAGCACTGGTTTCTGCTACCGTTGGTCCCTGATGGTGTATGAAATTAACTCTTAGCACAAATTGGTAATATACATAAATTTCTCTTTATTTTTGTGCTTAGTCCTACTTTGAATCATTTAATGTATGCTGATGACCTAGTGGTTTGGATGGATGGATGGATGGATGGATGGATGGATGGATGGATGGATGGATGATGGATGGATGGCTGAAGATAAATCTGGTAAAAAAAAAAAACAAGCTTTTAAAGCAATAATAATTTAAAAAATACATCATGGCTCTACATTTCCTTACAATACCTTAACTTAGGTGATGGACTAACTTTTTTTTGTATCTAAAGAGCTTATATGGTGCATATAGCTATTTGCAAACTGCCAGTTATCGCTCACCTGACTAGAAGAAGGATGTCAAATTTTGTTTTCATGCTTGTAGAAAAAATCTGTACATATCTGGGATTAGTTACCGTTGCAAAAAGCTCAGAAAGTCATGCAGTGAAAATGTAAATAGTCCCACCCAGTTACCTATGAAGGCATGGCTGTTAGAAATAAAAGCAATAAGAAGATGCTGTGCATTTTCTGTATTTGTTTTACAGCCATTAAAGAGAGATATTGTTCTAGGTTATGCTTTTACTGTGAGAGTCTCATACAACCGGTTTTGGTTAAGAGAGACATAAAAAAAAGCTTTGGTTGGTAAGCAAGATCTTTACAGACTTTTGGCTAAATACTGTCTCCAGTATCTGCTCATGCTCATGTTCGCTTGTTTTTCCATTTCTTTGTCACATGCCGCCTCATGCCTCATATGCGATTTACATCACTAAATTGCATTTGCTGCTGTTTATAACAATGTGTTTTCCATTATGTCTAGCTAGTCTCTGACCTGTGATCTTCATATGTTTGTTCTCCAGGGGAAAGGCCATTCTGCTGCCAGCTCTGCCCATACCGAGCCTCTCAGAAAGGGAACCTAAAGACGCACGTCCAGAGCGTCCACCACATGCCTTTCGATAACAGCCGGTATCCCGACCCGACAAGTTTGTCCCTGAGCCAGGAGGAGCAGAAAGCAGAGGCTGCCAAACACATACCAAATCCACAATGATCTTACTGTGATTAATGGAACAGAAAATCAGAGACTCTTGAACCCAAAATCTGAACCAAGACTTTTTATTGAGTCATAATTCTGGAAGAATGGAGGTTCCTTAAGTTTTTCTTTATAGCGCTCTTCTTCTTTTGCGGAGAGGCGTGCAAAAGTGTGGATTACAGTGAAAGGAGGTGAATCGGAAAATAATGTGTGATAACATTGCAAAGACTTTGTAGTGGAGGCTGATTGTGAGAAAGTGAAGATTGAAAAATCGAAGTGTCTTCTCAGCGAGAAAGCTGGACTCACCAAAATCAATCTTTTGCATCTCTTTGAGGTGAATGCTTGCATCATTTCAAGGATTTTTGTGTGTTTTTTTAGTTGTTAGAATTTAGATTTTCCTCTTGCTTTCATGTTTGAGGTGTGAAGTTGCCACGAGCAGCCTTAAAGAAAAACTCAAGTGTCTAATAGGAAGGAAAAGCCAACTCATATGGAGCTGGTTTAATCAAAAACTGTGGAAATACTTTACTACTACTGCTGAAACTTTTACACTTTTGTTTTGGCTTCGTCGAACGGGCTGGATGGACTAGTCCACGCAGAAGAGGACACCCCTCAGTTCATATGACTCCTGATGCAGGTGACAGGAATCTGGATCAAATCACAACCCGCTTCCTAAAAACTCCATAGCTTCAAAGCCGATGACTTCAGAGAAAGGGGCTGGATGAGAAAGAAAGATGGAACACTGGTGTGTGCTTAAGTGCTCATTAAAAAATATGTGATTTTAATAGCCAATATAAAAGAGCATCCTATTTTTATGGCCATTCAATTATTTCCCATTTGAAGAAGATATTTCCTCCATTACCTGTTCATAAAAGATTTCTGGCTCAGACATAGTGGTCTAAAAATAGTGTCATATAGGTGTTGGCTCCAGATTTTATTTCAACTTGTGCACTTGGAAAAAAAAGACTTTATATAACTGGAAGAAATACCTCCTCCAAGATAACTTTTGACTTTTTCTCCTTATTGATCTTGAGACAATTATAAAATCACAGCCATAATGCAGTAGCACTGGATTCAAACAATCATTTTATATCTGATATTGCCACTTTATTGGATAATCAGAGTTAATAAACAGGCCTGGGTAGCTCAACATTCTGACCTTAGCTATGCATTCATACTGAGAAGATGACAGCTAGTAGCCTCTAGTAATTAAAGTATGAGTTAAAATGTAACGATCAGAGAAGAATAACTATAAGTAAAGCTTTCTAGTTAACAGTGCTGCATAATATGGTCCACGTAATCAGTTCCTATGTCTTGGTCATTAAACAAGAGATTCACCAATCAGACGAGAAGATAAAGTTTTAATTTATATAAATTCATATATAAATATAATATCTCTAACTTCCTTTCATTGCATCACGCTGTGTGCCAGAGTGTAATAGTCGCAAACAGAGCAAATTATTCCTCGGGTAGCATCATATGTTAGCAATGAGCATATTGGTAGACGAATCCTCCTTAGAAATGAGGGGGGGCATAGTAATCCATGCATTCATTAGCTGCATTTCCATTAGCCATTCGATTACACATGAGGTATTTTTTTGGTCTAAGAGAAATTCTTATAATTTGCAGAACTGCAATGGAAACAATTTTTTTTTGGCATCACAAAAAAAGTGATCTTCAGATTAGGGTTGTCACGATACTAAACTTTTCAACTCGATACCGATACTAAGTCAAATATTCGATACTCGATACCCTTTTCGATACCACAAGAATAAAAACAAAGACTCTAAAATTCAACAGAAATATTTTCATTACTAAAAAAATACAAGAAATAAATAAAAAAAAAACAATAAGAATAATATTTTGAGGTTTTATGCTGTGCACAATATTAAGCACGCTTGATAAAAAACTTACAAAACTAAAATGAAGTGTTCCTTCCTTGGCTATGTTTTGCAGACATAACAATGACACTAGCCAAACCAGTTAAACAAAAATTATTCTCAGCAGCTGCACCTGCTACAAAAAAAGTCTGAAACTGAAAAATGCACAGAATTATTCAATCACACAGTGTTCAGAAAGTGCATTTTCCACTATTCTGCACTTTAGATGGCTGTATCAATAATTTTGAAAATGAGTATTGTATCCGGATACAACGTTTCAGTATCGATACTTTTTTGAGTATCGATACTTTTGACAACCCTTCTTCAGATGGAGCATACAGATGAAGAAGAAGACTGGAAGTATTTAAAGGATGATGTCGCTCACTAAAGCCGTTATCACATAAACAAACATTTTTAATTGTTGTTCTTGTTTCAAGGGAAACCTTGCATTTTCAAAATTAGCAGTATATCAACATGTTTTTTTTGTGCAAATGGAAATGCAGTTACTGTTTCTGTGTTCTTGAAGAAAATCCGTCCTCCTTCGAAAGCTTTAAATCTTAGCTTCTTTTTTTTTAAAAAGGTTCACTAATACTGAAGCCAACTGACTTTCAGACATCTTTAACATCCACACCAAAGACTCTTTTATGTTTTGCATTGATCTTTCAGCTTTTTTAATTATGCTATATTCATTAATCAAAAAACAACAATATTTTACATTTTCCTTTAATTTATTAAACAGTAACAGCTAAAACAGTGTGCAGCCAACTACTTCTAACATCTCCTGTTAGAATCCCAGCCTACATAAATGTTTTTTATGCTTTCCTGCAAAACTGTTAGTTTATATTGCAGATGGAATAATAAAAATAACATTCAAACCTAAATAAGCCACACCTGTTAACACTTATACATTAAAAAGTGAGAAATGAGCACTTATGCCTGCATAGAAATGCATAACTATGTGTTTAAGAGTTGAGGAGAAAACTGAGCCCCTTTCCAGTGCTGTCAGTCCAGTTCTGTGGCTTGTGATGTCTAGATCTGAATTCTAAGGGGACTGCTGATAGGAGGTCAGTTAGAGAGCAGCCAGAGGTCAGGAGGTCAGATTTACAGAGACCTTGGAGATAAACACGTCCGAAATGATGTCCTCTGAGTCATAGAGCTGTCAGAGCCTTAACAGAGTTAAACCCTGAGTTAAGATTTTTTACCTTTCCTTACCTTATGTTCTGCATCTCAGTATAGATGCTCTTTATATTATCCTCTACCTCCTTTGCGATGAAAGCCTGATATAAACTGAAGATGAACTGATTAATTTTGCTTGCTTTTCACCCTCAAACAACTCTCACACTTGAATCAGGAATGTCTGGACGAAATGTTGACGGCAAAACGAGGAAAAGCCGAAACGAAAGACGCTCCAGCCTGTAGGAGCCAAACAGTTGACTTTCCGGACTTTATTCCAAACAGTAAAGCTGACGGAATAGTGCTTTGCGTGTTCGGAGACGTCAACGCTTTTTACATGCTTGTAGGTTGTATTTAGTAATGCCATGTGCTTGAATTTGCCTAATTTATACACACCTGTGGGTGTGGAAGTGTATGTATGTGTGTGGAAGGTGTGGGTAGTTTAAATACTTGAAATGGATCTAGCCTTTGGGGTAGTGTAGTACTAATACCAATGTTGTACAGAATTCCCTTTATGATTAACTCCTCAGTTTATACTCCAAAGTGTGACTTAGAAAACTGTAAAGCAGGAGTGAGTGTGTGTATATCTGTATCCCACTTTACCAAACCCTTTACAAGCAGCAGTAGAAACCAAATGGCATTACTAGTGCACTTAGACTAGGTTAGCGCTTTAACCAGGTTAATTTTTCTGTATTTCTTGCTAAGGTTTATTTGAGAATGTCTCTTTTTATTGGTGCCGGCTAAAACTAACTTCACTGTCGTTCTTGGTTTAGATGCTTTTTGTTTTTTTTGTTCTGTTAGATTGATTCCAGATATTCCAATGATTAATAATTAAGATAAAGATTTATCATGTAAAGGCTGCACAGCGCAGCTCTTTAGTGTTTTCTTAATGAAAAGTTGGATATTGATAGCTGCAGCTGTTTTTGTTTTTTATTTTAATGAGAATCTCAGAGAGTTTTTTTTTAGTTTGTTTTGTGTAAACTGTAGCTAGTCAAATCAGCTGTCCCAAAGGGACTGGCAGGTGTTTTTCTTTGGGTTTTTTTTTTTTTTTTCATGCCTTCTATACTGTATTATTTCTGTCTATATTGCTGTTTTTTATTTGTTTTTGGTCTATGGTTAATTTACTCCAGGAGAAATTATTATTCCAAATGTACTTGCTTGAGATCTGTATTTATTATCACCTCTAAAAGGTTGAGAGGACAGCATCGGGACGGGGGCGTTTGTTTCCATTTTATTTTTCCAGGTTTTTTTTCTTTTTCACTGTGTAGTTTTTTTTTTTTTTTTGTCGTCGTTTGTTTTTGAAGCCAGCAAGCCGTCGTGAAAGCTCTACCTCGTCTGAGCCATTCTCAGTTCTGTTACGATTTTGTACATCATTTCAGAAAGATGTATCGTCATGTCCACAATAAAGATCAATACATAAAAACTGTACCTCTTTCCTTTGGGTAGAGCACTGTCAATTTTAGATTTAAGTTTCAATTCTTTTATGGTATTTTGATGACACCATGATTGTAATTCTGATTTCCAGGACATGACTGAGCTGTGTGATGGAGATAATCACTATGATCCCCATTAATATGGCAAAATTTACCAGGGAAAAAAAAAATAATAGTCCCATATCTACTAAAATACTAAAAGTATAAATGATTAATTATTGCATAATTTGAGTAATGTATTTATAAACCCCTAAACCCAAATGATATTTTGCGGGAGTTACTTACAGGTTTAATAATTGCTTTATAAATACTTGCAACAAAATATTACTGAAAAACAAGTAGAAAAAAACTTTTCTCTGATTGAATTTTGATATTTTCTGAAGTATTATTTAAAGCTTTTGTTGTGTTTCTCTAAGGTTTAGGGCCTGTGGCCTATTCCCTGCATGCTCAGTTGACCGGTTACATCTTTGCACATCAGGTGCCTGAAGCTAATTTTGACATAAAGAATGCCCATCCAGCTTTTTTCAGATGGCTTGGACTAGGTCTTGGCATTTGTGTGTTGGGAGAAGCAGAAGTGTTGGATGTTTCTATACTCTGATGCGTTACTTGGGTGGCACATAATTTCTCCCCAACCGAGAGGTTACTATAAATGCATAGGGGTTGCTACTTTTGGACATTGAATTTGATCTTTCGTTTTATTCCTTCACACTGTA